TTATCTATTTTATTGACCTTTTCAAAAAACCAACTTTTTGATTTGTTAATCTGTCGTATAATCCTTTTGTTTTCAATTTCATTTAATTCTGCTCTAATTTTGGTTATTTCTTTCTTCTGCTGGGTTTCGGTTTTGGATTGGAGTGTTCTTCCTTTTCCAGTTGCTTGAGGTGTCCCGTTAAGTTGTTAACTTCTCCTCTTTCCGTTTTCTTGAGGAAGGCTTGCAGTGCTATAAATTTCCCTCTTAGGACTGCCTTTGCAGTATCCCAGAGGCTCTGGTAACTCGTCTCTTCATTGTTGTTTAGTTCCAAGAATTTGGTAGTTTCCTTCTTGATCTCGTCTCTGACCCAACTGTCATTGAGCATAAAGTTATTTAGCTTCCACGTTTTTGTTAGGGTCTGCAGATTCCTGTTGTTGCTGAGTTCAACTTTTATTCCTTGGTGGTCTGAGAAGATACAAGGGATAATTTCTATTCTTTTAAATTTGCTGAGGTTAGACTTGTGACCTAAGATATGGTCTATTTTGGAGTATGTTCCGTGAGCTGATGAGTAAAATGTGTACTCAGTTTTATTAGGGTGAAATGTTCTATAGATGTCTGTTAAATCCAAATGCTGAATGGTTAAGTTTAAATCCAAAATTTCTTTGCTAAGCTTCTTGTTGGAGGATCTATTCAGCACTGCGAAAGGGGTATTAAAATCTCCCACTATGACGGAGCTGGGAGTAATCAGGTTGCTCATGTCTGTTAAGAGTGTCTCTTATAAATTGAGGTGCATTCTGGTTGGGTGCATAAATATTGATAATTGAAATCTCATCATATTGAGTATTACCCTTAATAAATATAAAGTAAGTATCTTTGTCCTAGTTCACTGTTGTTGCTTTAAAGCCTATTGTATCTGCGAATAAAATTGCAACACCTGCTTTTTTCTGCTTTCCATTAGCTTGGAATATAGATGACCATCCCTTCACCCTGAGTCTATGCTTGTCTTTCAAAGTAAGGTGAGTTTCTTGAATGCAGCAGATATCTGGCCTGAATTTTTGTATCCAGTCAGCCAGCCTGTGCCTGTTTAGAGGGCAATTTGAGCCATTCACAGTGATTGAGAGTATTGATAAGCCTGCTATACTTTCGGGTATTGAGTTTTTTGAAGGTCCAGTGGACATTTTTGATCCTTTTGTTACTGTGGGGATTGAAATTTGATCAAAATTTTTCTGGGTGGGTTTATTTATGTGGTGGAGGATTGCACTGGTCATTGTGGAGGATAGGTCTGAGGATATCCTGGAGGGTTGGTTTAGTTATGGCAAATTTCTTCAACATGTGAATTTTGTTAAAGTATTTAATTTCTCCATCATAAATGAAACTCAGTTTAGCTGGATACAGAATTCTGAGTTGAAAGTTGTTTTGCTTTAGGAGGTTGAAGGTCGATGCCCACCCTTTTCTAGCCTGAAAGGTTTCAGCAGAGAGATCTGCAGTCATTCTAATATTCTTCCCCTTGTAGGTTAAGGTTTTCTTGCGTCTGGCTGCTTTCAGGATTTTCTCTTTCATGTTAACTTTAGTGAAGTTGATTATGATATACCTGGGGGATGTCTTGTTCTGGTTGAGTTGTGCTGGGGTTCTGAAGCTGTCTGCTATCTGAATTTCAGGATCCCTTGGCATGTCTGGAAAGTTCTGTTTCATAATTTCATGAAGAAGAGCCTCTGTGTTTGTGAAGCAACTTTGTCACCTTCAGGGATTCCTATGAGGCGAATATTAGTTTTCTTCGAATTATCCAAGAGCTCTCTGAGCGAGTGATCTGTTTTTGCTCTCCATTTGTCATGATCTTTGGATGTTTGGGCACGTACAAAGTCTTTGTCTTCAGTGTCTGAGATCCTGTCTTCTGCCTGGTCCATTCTCTGAACGAGGGATTCAACCGTACTCTTCAGATCTTTAAGGGCTGCAACCTCTTGGTTCAGTGTATCACAGTCTTTGATCATTTTATCTTTGAAATCATTGAATTCCTGGGACAGCTTTTGAATAATTTGAAATTCTAGTTCCCTCCTTTCCTCCATTCTGTTGATCTTATTCGCTATCCAGATTCTGAACTCAATTCTGACATCTCAGACATTGGTTTATGGAATGGGTCTTCAATTGTGTCTGCCCCATCCTTCCTTGGGGGGGGGGGTTGATCTACTCTGGTTATTCTGGTTACCAGAATTTTTCCACTGATTCCGCCCCATGCTGAAGCTGAATTTGCACCTTTTGGAGATTGTTTCTAAAACCGTTCTGCCAGTGGCTTCTTCTGATTGTCTATTGGGTGCCTGCCACCAAGGCCCCGGGAAGCCAGGATAGCATCCGGCGGGCCTTGAAGCCCGCCCAGGCAGGAGTCAGTTGAGGTCGCGCTGTGAAGGCCCCGGAAGCGGGGGACAGCCCCTGGGGAGACAGCTGGGTGCAGAATGCACTGGCTGGCAGGATCAGTCCATGCATAGGAAGCTGGATCAACCAGTTCTACCAGTGAAGGACCGGGACAGGGGCTTGGTCCCACAAGGGTGTGGGGATGCTGCTCTTGGATCTCCTCTCCCTGTGGGCAATGGGGTGAGGGTGGACTGGAAACTCAAAATGGCAGTGTGAACGCCAGTTCCATTTTTCTGCCTGGGGAAGGGTGTTCTGAGTCTCAGCAGGGTCCCTCCAGGGTAGTAGACTTCCCTGTCGGCAGCTCTCACTCAGCTCTCACTGGTGGAGTGAGAGAATAGGTCCTCAGTTTATGGTCGCCTGTAGGAGACTCAGAGGAGCGGTAGAAGAGGAAGCAAAGGAAAAGCACACTTCTCTTGGGGAGGGGATGGACACTTTTCCTTTGGGGTGTATTATGTACCTGTAGATTGCCTTCCAGGTGTTGCCGCTTGCCTCAGAAGAGGTGTCCTGCCGGCATCACTCTCCTCTCTCGGCTGGGCTCCCAGTCTTTGACTTTGTTGGGTGTTTTCTGGACGCTATCCTTTCCTCTGGGCAGGAGCTTCTGTCAGAGGCTGGTACCTGTCGGCCATCTTCACCCCCCTCTGTCCTGGTTTTATCCCTTAGTTTAGAAAGAGGTGAGAATGTGGGAGGGGTGCTGTGGGACAGAAAGGTTGGGGTGGAAGCTAAGGTGTCGCTCTCTCTGCCTTAGAGAGTGTTCATGCTTACTAAAGTTTATTTTCTGTGTTTTCAAGTGCACCTTTGTTCCTCAAAACTGTTTACCTTTCCAGCAATATTTTCTAACTATTAGACTGATTTTCTTTCTTTCTTTTTTTTTTTTTTTTTTTTTTGAGACACAGCCTCAAGCTGGCCCCCTGGGTAGAATGCCATGGCATCACAGCTCACAACAACCTCCAACCCCTGGGCTCAAGCAAGTCTCTTGTCTTAGCTTCCCGAGTAGCTGGGACCACAGGCGCCTGCCACAAGGCCTGGCTATTTTTTGGTTGCAGCCGTCATTGTTGTTTAGTGGGCCTGACTAGATTCGAACCTGCCACCTTAGGTGTATGTGGCTGGCGCCTTAGCCACTTGAGTCACAGGCGCTGAGCCTAGACTGATTTTCTTATGAAATACTATCTTTTAGTATTTCTGGTAACTTACATGGTTAAAGTCAAAGGACAAGAGTTGCCTTGAAAGAATTTTGAAGAGGAACCTGAATAGTTGATATTTTGCATGTGTTTTTGTTTCACCAGGCTGTATATGCCTGTTTGTAGAACATACCATGCAGCTTTATTACTATAATATACATCAGGGCAGATAGGAGCAGACTGAGATGCACTTGATTCCTTCAGTAAAGTGAGCTATTACCAGGGCTGATGATTTACTTGTATCACAGAATGTACAATCTTGGAGTGTTGTTTCTTGGTTACTTTATTTCTTGAGAGGTCTATTTAATTCTCATATAAAAACAACTTGATTAAAATTAGTCTGTAGAATTCCATAATTACGGTGATCATGGTGAGAAATGTTCTATGTTCTTCTTATTTTATTTAATCCTCAGAGCAGCCCTGTAAGATAAGTTCTGTTATCCCAGTGTTACTGATGAAAAATCTGAGGCAGCTGGAAGGTGATGATGCCGGGGTTCAACCCCGGGTGCAGGTGTGTTAAGACCTGTGGCTCTGGTGGTGGTGATTGACTGGGGAAGTATAAAGTTAGAAACTACGAGAGACAAAGAGACAAGACACAGAGAATAGAATTTTCAAATGTGGGAACACAGGGTCCACTACCCATTTGTGGGGTTCCATGGTTCCGAGCATTTGTTCCACTCAGATTTTATTGAAGGCTGTTTGCTCATTAGCCCAGAAGGTAAGCTGAGGAAGGGAACAAAGACATCAGCAGTTTCTCTGCGTAAAAGTATCTCAACTCCTATTGTTTCTATAAGCATTAACTTTAGGGGACTGAGCACTCTTGAGAAATCCGGAACCTGAGCCTCGCGTGGGGGCAGCCTCCTTTCTGTAGTCGCACACACAGATTCCTTAGGGGAGGAGGTGTTAGTCCCCACTAGTTCTCTGTGGAGTAAAACGCTCTGGCATCAATCTTCTCTGAACAATTGGTGGGAGAGGAACGCTTCTACGCTGCTGGTGGGATTGCAAATCCCTGATTCAGCCCTTTTGGAAAGAAAGATCTAAATGTAGACCTTCCATTTGATCCTACAATCTCATTACTAGGTATCTACCCGGAAGAACGTGAATCATTTTGCCACAAAGACATTTATAATAGAATGTTTATTGTGGCTCAATTCATAGTTGCCAAGTTGTGCAAGCAGCCCGAGTACCCATCAACCCATGAATGGATCGATAAACTGTGGTATATGTATACCATGGAATTTTATGCAGCCATTAAAAAAGATGGAGATTTTACATCTTTTACATTTACCTGGATGGAGTTGAAATACACTTTTCTTAGTAAAGTATCATAAGAATGGAAAGATGATTATCCAGTGTACTCCATACTAATATGGAATCAATACATAAACAAGTATATGCTCCTGAGAACAATAAAACACTGTTATAGTCTAGTTTGGGGGTAGAGGGAGGGGTGAGGATGTATGGCACGAAGAGGGAGGGCATGAGGCGGGATCTCACCTAAGGTGCACATTGTGAGGGTGTATAACATTCCCCCAGGGTGAGGGGCTCTTCTACAAAGGGAGCTTTGCCCTGGAAGTGAGAACAATGTAACCTAAATATTGTACCTTCAAATTAATTTCAGTAAAGTTTAAAAAAAAGAATTGATGTGAGAAAGGAATTTTCCTCTCATCTCTAGCCCAGAGGCATTGTCCTCTGTGATAAGGGATATAAGTCCTCCTACCCATATTTCAGAGCCTGAGCTGTTGTCTTGATCTCTGTCCTGGCCAAATACAGATCTCCACAATGGGTATTTACTTTGACTGTTAACTAGGCAGGAAATAGCCTAGTTAATGTTTCTTGCTAGGCCTTGCACACAGCTTCCTTTGCAGCCATTTTTTCCTTCAGAGCCTTCATAGACCCAGAAGGGGTCTTAGCAAGCTGTATCCCCTGAGCAAGAAACTGCTCAGTTAAGAAATTTAGCAGCAGCTGGTTTAAAGGTAACTAGATGACTTTTCTTTGTTCCACCTTGTTCAACTTATTTCTCCATTCCTCCCTTTCTCTGGGAGTGCTTTCCCTTGCCAAGAATGAGGTCTTTGGTCCCCATTCCGCCTGCATGGTAGAGCCAGGATTTGAAGCCAGCCAGATTCCTGGGCCTTTCTGTTGACTCTCATTCTCTGTTCCTTCAACAGTTGGAGGTTCTATTGCATATCACAGGCCAGGAGTTACAGAGAGTATTCATAGAGTGTCTAATGATCGAATTGAAATGCCAATAACTGTTAAATTCTTGGACTCTAGGAAAAAGACTTCAACCTGGTGGAGCACAGTAGCCGGCTGCCTCAGTGTGGGAAGCCCCCTGTACTTCCGTTCTGGTGCTCAGGAATTTGGAGAACCGGGATGGTGGAAACTTGTTCATAACAAGCCCCCCACGATGAAACCTGAAGGAGAGAAGTTGTCTGCCTCTTCTTTGAAAGTAAAAGGTACTGTTGTGAGAACAGTACGTAAGTGTGAGCCTCTGAGACAGTCTGTGTTTCTCAGGCTGAGCTCACAGGGCTTTCTGGAGCTATTCTGCTTGACAGTTCTATAATACTTGCTTTGCGTGCTGTAAATACTGTATAAAAACATTTAATCATTTGGTCATCAAGTTACAAATTTCCTTTAGTATTTGAAACATTCAGTGCTTTTAATCTGATTTTTGTTTTGAACACACTTTTCTTTTTAGACAGAGTCTCACTTTGTCACCCTTGGAAGGGTGCCATGGCTTCGGAGTTCACAGCAACCTCCTGCTCAGGCAGGTCTGATATTTTGAACACATTAACTGCCATGTAAGTTGTATTTTAACTTCGGCTAGTTTTGAGCCTGGGGCCTCATGAAGCACATACAATTCACACATCTGACCCATTTTGACCTAATGAAACACTATGGCCCCAAGGAAAAAAATCTTTTTTCTAGTGTGGCAGCCAATGTGTTAAACTTTTTCTAATTTTTTTTCTGTTGCCCTGGGTAGAGTGCAGTGGTGACTGTTAGCTCACAGCATCCTGAAACTCCTGGCTCAGGAGTGGCTCACAAGTGATCCTGTGCCTCAGCCTCTTGAGAACACTGGGCTAGTTTGTCCCCTATTTTTAGTAGGTCTTGCTGTTGTTCAGGCTGGTCTTGAACTCCTGAGCACAAGCAATCTACCCACCTTATCCTCCCAGAGTGCTAGGATTACAGGTGTGAGCCAACATACCTGGCCAAGGTGTTAAACTTTTTATTATGGAAATTTAAACTGATACAAGGTGAAGAGAGTAATCCATGAATTCCCATGTGCCTCCCACTTCACTAAAGCAGTTAAATCTTAATAGTCTCCTTGCATCTAAATCCCTGCTACTTTCCCTGGCCGCCTACCCACGCCCACCCATGGATTGTTTTAAAGCAAATCCCAGGCATCAACATTTCTTCTTAAATATAATAGTATGTATTTCTAAGAGATAGGAGTACTTTTCTTTTTGTAGCCTAATCTGTTTTTTTTTTTTTTTTTTTGAGATGGACTTTCACTATGTTGCCCTCAGTAGAGTGCTGTGGCATCATAGCTCACAGCACCTCAAACTCTTGGGCTGAAGTGATTCTCTTGCCTCAGCGTCCCAAGTAGCTGGGACTACAGGCACCTGCCAAAACGCCTGGCTATTTTTTGTTTGTAGTTGTCAGAATTGTTTGGCAGGCCTGGGCTGGCTTCGAACCTGCCCGCTGTTGTGTATGTGGCTGGTACCCTAGCTGCTGAGTTACAGGCACTGAGCCTTTGTAACCTAATCTTAATGTCATTTTTACATTAAAAGAAAATTAGTAACTCCTTACTATTATACTTTGATCTGTTTTTATTTATTTATTTTTTATATGTATGTATGTATGTATTTTTGAGACAGAATTTCACTTTGTCATCCTTGATAGAGTTCTGTGGCATCATAGTTCACAGCAACCTCAAACTCTGTGGGCTCAAGAGATGCTCTTCCCTCAGCCTCCCAAGTAGCTGGGACTACAGGCACCTGCCACAATGCCCGGCTATGTCTTTAGAGATGGGGTCTTGCTCTTGCTCAGGCTGGCCTCGAACTCCTGAGACCAGCAATCCATTTACCTTGGCCACCCAACGTGCTAGGATTACAGGTGTGAGCCACCCCACCCAGCTTGATAAGTTTTTATAATCAAAGAATTTTAATGAAATTTTACGTTTAAAAAAATATGATTGGTAAAAGATCAAATAGTATTTAAGGATATAAAATCTGAAAGTTAGACTACAGTTTCACTTCCCAGAGTAACCACTGTTATCTTTTATAAATACATTTAGAAATAATTTTAGCATATTTAAGCATTTTCTTCTTCTTCTTTTTTTTTTTTTAAATGCAAAGCCTATAGCACAGTGGTGATGGCGCCGGTCACATGCACCGAGGCTGGCAGGTTTGAACTTAGCCCGGGCCTGCTAAACAACTATGACAACCACAGCCAAAAAAAAAAAAAAAAATAGCTGGGTGTTGTGGCGGGCACCTATAGTCCCAGCTACTTGGAAGGTTGAGGCAAGAGAATCGCTTAAGCCCAAATCGAGGTTGCTGTGAGCTGTGATGCTATAGCACTCTACCGAGGGTGACATAGTGAGACTCAGTCTCAAAAAAAAAGAAATGTAAATAGACTCATGCTAAATAGACTTGTTCTCCTTTTCCTCCCCAGTTTCCTATAATTGTACATGTAGATCTACCCCATTTTATTTCATTGCTTTCATTACATGGATGTATGATAACTTACTAAACCACTCCCCTATGATGGAATTTTGGTTGTTTCGACCTTTTAAAATTATTGTCATTTTAAACAATGTGACAATTATGAAAATTTGTGTACATGTGAAAATTGTGATAAATTCCTGGAAACAGAATTGCTATATCAAAGGACATATAGGCAGGCCCTGGGTTATAAACAAGATAGGTTCTGTAGGTTTGTTCTTAAGTTGAATTTGTATGCAAACTGGAACAGATAATTTACCTATTACCTGTAATAGCCTCTGTTCATAAATGCAAGCTGTATGTCAGTTGTATATTTGTAACTTGAGGACTTGCTGTAGTAGCTTCCCTTTATAAGTGTGAATTGTATTTAAGTTGGGTGTTTGTAAACTCTGGTACTGCCTGTATTTGTTCACAATTGTAGTTAGTTTAGCCAAGTTATCCTCCAAGAAGGTATAATAAAAAATTTGTGTCATTCTAAAAGACATGAAAATGCTCATTTCCACATACTCTTGCTGAGGGTTACCAAAGCTTTTTAATGTTTACCAGTTGCAGTAGGTAAGGTGTTAGGGTCCTGCCCCGAGAGCAGTGTCCACTGAGACCTGTGGAAACTAGCGGGAATCCACTAAAGAAATACAGAGTTAGAAGTGATGGTAAAGAAAGACAAGAGACATAGAGTAGAAATAGAAGTGGGAACTCAAGGGTCCATTGCTCATCATGGGTTTCTGGCAGTGGCACCAAGTGTTTGCTCCACTCTGCTTTTTTTTTTTTGGTAGAGACAGAGTCTCACTTTATTGCCTTCAGTAGAGTGCTGTGGCATCACAGCTCACAGTAACCTCCAACTCCTGGGCTTAGGCGATTCTCTTGCCTCAGCCTCCCGAGTAGCTGGGACTACAGGTGCCCACTACGGCTATTTTTTGTTTGCAGTTTGATTGGGCCGGGTTTGAACCCGCCACCCTCGGTATATGGGGCTGGCGCCCTACCCACTGAGCCACAGGTGCTGAGCTCCACTGTGCTTTTATTGAGTCTTTTTGCCCAGAGGTTAAGATGAGGGAGGGAACAAAAGACATCAGCAGTTTTCTGGAATTGGTCATATCAGCTTCTATTATTATTATATAGATATAATAATAATATAATATATTATAGATATAATATAAATATAATTATAATTAATCTTCAGGGTGGCCTTCAGTAATCTGAAATCTGAGCCTTGGATTGAGAGCCTCCTGCTTGAGGTCACACACACAGATTTCTAGGGAGGTGTTAAGGTCCATAATTCTCTGGAGTAAAATGCCGTCAGCATTAATCTCCTCTGAGGGATGAGGGGGGAGGCATTTTCCTCTCATCAACACCACAGAGGATTTTCCTCTGCTGTAAGGGATATAAGCTCTTCTTGAAGTCTATTATCTTAAAGCTCAAGCTACTTCCTTGGTCTCTGCCCCAGGCAAATGCAAATCTCCACAGTGGGTATCTGCTTTGCCTGTTTCATGGGCAGGGAACACTCTAGAAGATGTACCTTTTTCTAGGACTTGTCACAGACTTTTCCATGGCCATTACTCCCCTCAGACTGCTCACAGACCCAGCAGGGTGTTTGTAAGCTGTATCCCCAACAGGCTAGAATTTCAGAAAATGCGGGAAGCTCGCTGGCAATGGCTGGCTTAAACGTAAACCAGCTTTTCTTTGTTCCAACTCACTCAGCTTACCTTTTAGTTTTCCTCTTTTTCTGGGGGTGCTTTCCTCTGGGGTCTTCATTCTCTCAACAGTAAAAGAATTGTTTAAACTTACATTATAATTTCTTTTTTTTTTTTTGAGACAGAGCCTCAAGCTGTCCCCCTGGGTAGAGTGCCGTGGCATTACAACTCACAGCAACCTCCAACTCCTGGGCTCAAGCGAGTCTCCTGCCTCCGCCTCCCAAGTAGCTGGGACCACAGGCGCCCGCCACAGCGCCCTGCTATTTTTTGGTTGCAGCCATCATTGTTGTTTGGCGGGTCCAGGCTGGGGATTCGAACCCGCCACCTTAGGTGTACATGGCTGGCGCCTTAGCCGGTTGAGCTATAGGCGCTGAGCCACATTATAATTTCTTATTCCTTAAGAGATGTTTAAGTCTTTTAGTTTAAGGCATTCATTGAACATTTCTCTATATTAAACATGATGTTAGGCTCACTACAGTTAGCAAGTGAAACTCAAGTGATATAGTTATTTTAAAATATAGATACTGGTTGAGCATCCCAAATCCAAAAATTTAAAATCTAAAGCACTGTGAAATCCAAAACTTTTTGAGCACTCCCATGACACTCAAAGAAAATCTCATTGGAGCATTTTGGGTTTTGGATTTCCAGGTTTGGGATGGTCAACTGGTGAGTGTAATGCAAATATTCCTAAATCTGAAAAATCCCGAGATCCACAACATGCTTGTTCCCATGTATTTGGAGAAGGGATTACTTAACCTATGCTTGTTCTGTTCTGGCAGCCTCAAAACCAACTTTAGATCCAATCATTACTGTCGAGGGACTTCGAAAACGGGCGAGTCGGAATCCTGTGGAATCTGCTATGGAATTAAAAGAGAAAAGATCTCGAACTCAGGAAGCCAAAGACATTAGAAGAGCCCAGAAAGAAGCAGCTGGCTTTCTGGACAGGAGCACGTCTTCCACCCCTGTAAAGTTTATGAGCCGTGGCCGCAGGCCAGATGTGATTCTTGAAAAAGGAGAAGTGATTGACTTTTCATCCTTGAGCTCCTCTGACCGCACCCCCCTGACAAGCCCATCTCCTTCTCCATCTCTGGATTTCTCTGCCCCGGGGACGCCGGCTTCTCATTCTGCCACGCCTAGCTTGCTTTCTGAAGCAGATCTGATTCCAGATGTGATGCCCCCACAAGCCTTGTTCCATGGTAAGACTTGCTTGCTTTCATCTTTTATTTTAGGTGTGGGCCGTGATGTAAATGTCTGAGTTTTCACCTTTGGGCTCTACATTTCTTCTCAGTCTTGATGACAGTATTTTATGCTCTGTTTAGATGATGATGAGATGGAAGGTGATGGAGTCATAGACCCAGGAATGGAGTATGTTCCACCCCCTGCGGGGGCATCAGCTTCTGGACCAGTGGTTGGGGGCAGAAAGAAAGTCAGAGGCCCTGAGCAGATAAAGCAGGAGGTAGAGAGTGAGGAGGAAAAGCCCGACAGGATGGACATGGACAGCGAAGACACAGATTCAAACACTTCTCTGCAAACAAGGGCTCGAGAAAAGAGGAAGCCTCAGCTGGAGAAGGACACAAAACCTAAAGGGCCCAAGTACACTCCCGTGAGCATCTATGAGGAAAAGCTGCTTCTCAAGAGGCTGGAGGCCTGTCCCAGTGCTGTTGCCATGACACCAGAGGCTCGGAGACTGAAGCGGAAGCTGATTGTCAGACAAGCCAAAAGGGATAGGGGATTACCACTTTTTGACTTGGATCAAGTTGTTAATGCTGCTCTGCTGTTAGTTGATGGGATTTATGGGGCCAAAGAAGGAGGAGTTTCCAGGCTTCCTGCTGGACAAGCCACGTACCGAACAACCTGTCAGGACTTCCGAATCCTTGATCGTTACCAGGTGAATGTGCGTGGGCTCTAAGCTGTGGGGCTGGCGTGGAGGTGGGGCAGGTGGCCCCAGGTTAGGCCGTGACTGGTAAAATCATGAGTCACGTAGGGCGAGAGGAGAAAAGAGCAAGGCGGAAAAATACAAAAATTTTGGGCTTTATTTTTAGGATTTGTTCTGTATATATGCTCCTTAATACACCTGGGTTTTTCTTTTCCCTTGGACCTTCGAGGTTTGTGTGTATGTGGGTGTATACACACATACGTACATAACCTGGACGTTTTCTTTATAGCTCTCAGTCTCTGAGGGGAGCTATACGTGATGTGTGTCATAGTTTCGACTGGCAGATTTATTGAGGACATGTGATGTACGGGGTATTATGCTGAGCAGGATTTGAAGGTGTGTAAACATCTGTGTAGTTAGGGGACAGCATGAAGAAATAGCAGCCAGGGGGTCAGTGTGATGTCATTGGAACCCACGTTTTGTGAGTGCCTCTGGGAAGAATTAATTCCATTCAGAGCTGCCAGCGTATACCCTCCCACCAAGCAGAATGAGAGGACTCATTTCTGTCTTTGCTAGCAGTTAATAGTAATCAGCCTTTAAGTTTTTTTGCTAATCAGATGGCTGTGAAGTGAAATCTTTTTATTCACGTTACTTTGATTACAGGTGAGGTTAAACACTAAAGTTTCTTGGTTGTCTGAGAATTCCCTGTTTGGAGTCTTTGCACATTTTTATGTTGTCTTCTCGGGACGCTAGTGGTCTCTTTATTGCCAGTTCTGATCCTATTCAGTGATACACCATATGTAGGACCTGTTTCTTTCCTTGTGCTGGGCATGTGGTGTGTGGGCCCTTTCAATTTGAAGCTCTTATTCCTGAGTTCTGAAAAGTCTTAATTTCCTGTCTTCTATTTTGTCGGTTCTCTTTTTTTAGAACTCCCTTGTTCCTTGGATATTGAGCCCTGTAGACCAGAGGGTTGGTAAACTTTTTCTGTAAAGGGCCAGACAGTAAATATTTTAGGCTTTGCAAGGCCATCCATGCCCAGTCAGAACTACTGAACTCTGCCATTGTGAAAGCAGCCATGGTGAACGTGTGCGGCTGTGTTCCAGTAAAGCATTATCTACCCAAATAGCAATGGGCTGGGTTTGGCCTGTGGGCTGTAATTTGCCGAGATCCATACTGTGGGGTGGATCCTATTAATTTTCTTTTTTTCACTTTTTTCCCCATCTTTCCTGTGAAGTATAGTATTAACCTGCCTGCATTCTAAGACCCCAGTGGGAAGGTCCAGGAGCCTATGACTAAGTAAATAAACTTCCACTGAATCTCCCTGTCTTCAGAACAGCACTCTCACCTTTGGTTCCCTGTGTCTGGAATCTCCTTTTGGACCTCTCTAGAAAGTCCAGTCTTCTGCCAGAGGGGGAAACATCATTTCCTGGTTGGGGGCAGTGTAGCTGACATAGTGGTGTAAGTGGTGTAATTGGAGGTTTTAACTTCTTTTTTTTTTTTTTTTTTTTTTTTTTTTTTTTGAGACAGAGCCTCAAGCTGTCCCCCTGGGCAGAGTGCCGTGGCGTTACAGCTCACAGCAACCTCCAACTCCCGGGCTCCAGCGAGTCTCCTGCCTCCGCCTCCCAAGTAGCTGGGACCACAGGCGCCCGCCACAACGCCCGGCTATTTTTTGGTTGCAGCCATCATTGTTGTTTGGCGGGTCCGGGCTGGGGATTCGAACCCGCCACCTTAGGTGTACGTGGCTGGCGCCTTAGCCAGTTGAGCTATAGGCGCCGAGCCGGTTTTAACTTCTTAAAGAGCTTCTCAGGCCATAGTTGGACTGCCAGTTCTTAGCTTCCATAGTACCTGTGAGGACCATAGCTCACAGGTTCTGATTCTGTATTTTCCTGAGGTTGAATTTTGTAAATCATCCTGCTCCTGGTCAGTCTTTACCACCAGCTTTAGTTTTAGCTTTCCTTGCTCTGTTAAGTCATTAGTGGCCAGGTATGGTGGCTCATGCCTATAATCCTAGCACTGGGGGAGGCTGAAGCAGGAGGATTGCTTGAGGCCAGAAATTTCAAGACCTGTCTGAGCAAGTGATTGTCTTGCCTCAGGCCTCCCAAGTAGCTGGGACTACAGGCACCTGCCACAATGCCCAGCTAATTTTTTTGTTGCAGTTGTCATTGTTTTAGGTGGCCCAGGCCGGGTTCGAACCCACCAGCCTCCATGTATGTGGCCGACACCCTACCCACTAAGCTACAGGCGCTGCTGTGATCACCCTCTTTCATTTAGCATGGCGTTTTCAAGACCATCCACATTGTAGCATATACTATTAGTACTTGATCACTTTTAAAGGCTTAATATCCCATTGTATGGATAGACGTTTAGTTTATCCATTCATTAGTTGATGGACATTTGGGTTGTTTCTACCTTTTGGCTATGAACATAATCTGCTACGAACATCTGTATATAAGTTTTTGTGTAGACACGTTTTTCTCTGGATCTGGATGTAGGAGTGGATGGTAACTCTATGTTTAACTTTTTGAAGAACTGTGAGGCCGTCTTCCCAAGTGGTGCACTGTTCACATTCCTTCCAGCGGTGTATGAAGACACTCATTTCTCCACATCCTTTCACATTACCTGTCCTTTTGATCACAGCCATCTTAGTGGGTGTGAAGTCGTATCTCCCTGTAGTTTTGATTTGCGCTTCCCTGATGACTATTAAACTTTGAGAAATTCTTGTCTGTTTGATGTACTGAGTCTACCTTTTCCTGTGCAGCTTAAGTTTGTTACCCTTCTCTTGCTTTCTTGCAGTCTTTATTTATGAGTCTTGATTTTCTTCCAGTGAGTTCATATCCCCTCAGTGTGTTCAGCTGCCTTTGCTGGTAGTATATGCTGGGGGTGGGGTGCGGGGGAGAGCAAAGGCCTGGTTCCCAGCTAGTGACCCTCTCAACAATTCTAGGAAAATGGGAGGCTCTAGGTTAGTCTCCTTCCTGCTCTCACCTTTCTCTGCAGTCTAGGAGCCTCACCTCTCAGGGAGCTCCCAGGACCTCTGGCCAGGTGTTGCTTTTTACCTCCCTCTGCCTTTGCTGCCTGGGTTGTGGCCTGCTCAGGGACTGTGTGGGATGGGATCTGCCCTCTACCTTAGGAAGGCTCCGGCACTGCTCTGGCATCACCCTCCTCTAGCCTGGCTGGCCAAGTTACTTGGCAGTGATCTGCCTGCTTCTCCTGGAGAAGCACATGGGAGAGGAGGTGATGGTGACAGGGCCCCTGCTCTGTTGGTGGGGCAGAGCCTTCTCTGCTCTCTTCACTCATCGGCTTCACTAGAACCTGACCCTCGTGACCTCTCCGAGCTTGCTGCCTGCCTGGGGTGCTGTCTTCCTTCTCAACATCTGGCATCTCACAGCTTGGGTTTGGCACGGGACCCAGCAGCCCATCTACCTCTCCATGTGTTTAGAACTAGAACTCTGAAGAAACGCACTTAACATTTTCCATACTTAGACTTTGGGGTGCTTTTTCCCTCACTGCTCTTTCATTGAGCAAACATACGTTGAGTACTTAATATGCCTATGTGCCAAGCACTATTCTAGCTGAGGACGCTTAGTAGCTTAAGACAGGGAAGGCCCCAGCCTACGGAGCTGACATCCTTAAGAGGGAGATGATAGTAACTAGCTCACCAAGCAGATAACATTACTCACAGAAGGTGAGTGCAGTGAGGGAAAAGCGTGTAGGGCAGGGCCACCCCTCTGTGCTGGAGACCAGGAATGGCCTTGAACTAAGTCCTGATTCATAGGATCAGGCTAAAGAAGGGTCCCGGCTACTGGCCCTAAGGAAGAAGTAAGGTTGGTGTAAGTGGCTGGGACTAGGTGACATCAGAGGAATGGGATGGTGGGAAGTGAGGCCAGAGGGAGGAGCCAGAGCCTATAGGATCCTACTAACTGTGGGTGAGGAGTTTGGATTGTACCATGAGCATTCAGTGGGAAACCAGGTAGGAGTTTTGATGAAGGAAAGTGAATTTGTGTTTTTAGAAGAACCTGGCTTCTGTGTGGAGACTGGATGTATGGAGTAAAAGTAGGAAGAGAGAGGCCAACAAGAGGCAGTGGGTGGCCCAGGCAGCCTGGAGTGTCTTAGACTACGGTGAGACCAGGTAGTTGGGGAAATGTACTCATCAGTGGAGAGTGTTCTTGGAGAGTGTTTATATGGGTGGAGAGTGTTCTGGGAGCTGTATAGATGGGAGAGAGTGTTCTGGGAGCTGTATAGATGGGAGAGAGTGTTCTGGGAGCTGTGTACATGGGGGAGAGTGTTCTGGGAGCTGTGTACATGGGGGAGAGTGTTCTGGGGAGCTGTATACATGGGGGGGAGTGTTCTGGGAGCTGTGTACATGTGGGAGAGTGTTCTGGGAGCTGTGTACATGGGAGACAGTTTTCTGGGAGCTGTGTAATGGGGGAGAGTGTTCTGGGGAGCTGTATACATGGGGGGGAGTGTTCTGGGAGCTGTGTACATGGGGGAGAGTGTTCTGGGAGCTGTATACATGGGGGAGAGTGTTCTGGGAG